AAGCCTACCCGGGTATCTTTTGAAATTTTTTGTCTACCCGAGTAGAGAAGTGTGTACCCGGGTATTGTTCTTGATTGCTTGAATTATTTACCCGGGTACGAATGAGTGTACCCGGGTAAAAAGCACAAACCAAATTAAAGCAATGAACATTATAATTGACTGCATTCGTTTCCCATTAAATTTTACCACCAAGATCTAAGTCAATCTATCCTTTAGCCTCACCAAGTTCAACATCCTTGAGAGGACTCTTTTCTACTCCATCCTTCAATAGTCTAATTCTTCTTCCGTCAGGCTGTTTTTCACTTGAGAAAATGTCTTTGCATTGGACTGCTTTTCAGCTTCCATAGCCCAACTGTAAATTATCATACCAACAACTGTGATAATCATTCCCATTATATTCTTGAAAGTTAGCTCTGAATCAAATAGCAGCCATCCCAATGTCAGAACACATACTGTTTTCATGTGGCCTAAAACCTGGAAGGAAACAGCTGAAAAGCGCCCGATGCAAAGGTACTGGCTCACATTGCAAAATACAGCTAGCAAACATGAAAGAAGAATGCATAACTGCAGATATTTAAAAAAATAAAAATAAAAGAAATGAATAATCCAACACTACATTATTAAGGATAAATACATAGGAAATACAACAGGTTAAAGTTAATAAGGGAAAAGGAGGACCACTTACCTCAGAATCTTTTGATATAAGAACAAGATTTACCCGGGTACACTCATCCGTACCCGGGTAAATAATTCAAGCAATCAAGAACAATATCCGGGTACACATCTCTCTACTCGGGTAGACAAAAAATTTCAACAGATACCCGGGTAGGTAGGGGTGTACCCGGGTAGGCTTCATGGTCAACGGTCAAACAGGGGCAGATTGGTGTTATGTTTTTTGAGGGGGTTAAATTTTTGAAATAGTTTATAATAAAGGTCAATTTGGTAATTAATTATTAGTAAAGGGTTATAAGGGTCAAAAAGCCCTCCATAGAGTCTTGATTAAGGCTGCATTTGCCGTCCAGAAAGCAACTGCATGATGTATAATTCTCAATTTAATAGTTTATATTTATTGAGTTATGTTAAAAAAAATTTACAATAAAATAAACTATTTTTCATGATTGAGATGTGCATAAAAAAACAAAAACATTAAAAAAATATTGTAAAATAAGGAAATTATTTATATCGTAAAATAAACTTAATATTTGGAAATAAATTAAATGAAAAATTATGTGAACAATTTTTGGTGGCAGACAACTCATTCAATGTCCCACTTAATTCTACATTAAAATTTCCAAATTAATAATAACTCAACTCTTCTAAATTTTGAATTTATGTTTAAATTTAAATTTTGAATTTGAATTTGAATTTTTAACTTTGTAATGGTGAAAAAAAATTTGGAAAAATTTCTGTGGCATACAACTCATTTAATGTCCCACTATTTTTCTTTTATTGTATATTATGAGTAAAAAAGACCTCTACATTTTTTTGTTGTATATCCCACTATTTTTTGCATGGATAATTGTTAGCTCTATTAATGCTGCATTAAAAACATATTAAAAAAATATTGTAAAATAACAAAATTATTTATATTGTAAAATAAATTCAAAATTTGGAAATAAATTAAATAAAAAATTATGAGAACAATTTTTTGTGGCAGACAACTCATTCAATGTCTCACTGCATTCTACATTGAAATTTCTAAATTAATAATAACTCAACTCTTCTAAATTTTGAATTTGAATTTTTGACTTTGTAATGGTGGGAAAACTATTGGAAAAATTTTTGTGGCAGACACCTCATTTAATGTCCGACTACTCATTTTTGTTGTATATTATGAGTAAAAAAGACCTCTACTTTTCTTTTGTTGTAAATTCTACTATTTTTTTCATGGATAATTGTTAGCCCTATTAATGTTGCATAAAAAAAAATAAAACATTAATTTTTTTTTTGTAAAATAACAAAATTATTTATATTGTAAAATAAATTCAAAATTTGGAAATAAATTAAATGAAAAATTATGTTAACAATTTTTTGTGGCAGACAACTCATTCAATGTCCCACTGCATTCTACATTGGTCAACTCTTCTAAATTTTGAATTTATGTTTAAATTTGAATTTTTAACTTTGTAATGGTGGGAAAAATTTTGAATTTTTTTTTGTGGCAGACAACTTATTTAGTGTCCCACTACTTTTCTTTTGTTCTATATTATGAGTAAAAAAGACCTCTACTTTTCTTTTGTTGTATATCCCACTATTTTTTGCATGGATAATTGTTAGCCCTATTAATGTTGCATAAAAAAACATGATTACAAAAAAAAAACATTAAAAAAACATTGTAAAATAACAAAATTATTTATATTGTAAAATAAATTCAAAATTTGGAAATAAATTAAATAAAAAATTATGTGAACTTGATATATGGGAAAAGAGTTCAACATTTAATATTTATGCAATGGGAAAAGATATATATAATAATTTTGCAAAAATGTAATTAATACAAATACTTGCAAAAAATAATTATTTATATAAAATGCTAATAGTTAGAGGTGAAAAACTGGGCTCGGCCCGGAGGGCCGGCCCGCCAATATATTTTTATAATTCAATTGAAATTTTATCCTTCTTCTTTTATAATTAAATTACTAAATCTGATTTCAATTTTTGTAAATACAAATTTGTGAAATTCCAAAGATTAACGACACTAATTCTTGCCAAAAAAAAATATTTATATAAAATGCTAACAGTTAGAGGTTTAGAACTGGGTTTGGCCCGGAGGGCCGGCTCGCCAATATATTTTTATAATTCAATTGAAATTTTATCCTTATTCTTTTATAATTAAATTACTAAATCTTATTTCAATTTTTGTAAATATAAATTTATGAAATTCCAAAGACTAACGACACTAATCCTTGCAAAAAAAATAATTATTTATTATTATTTTATGAATCTGATTATAGTAAATGAAAGATAATCTCTGATATAAAATATAAAAACCTAGATGCAACTATAAAAATATTTTTGTGTGGATAAATATAAAAACCTTTTACATGCTGATAGTTAGAGGTGGCAAACTGGACTCGGCCCGGAGGGCCGGCTCAGCAACACATTTTTATAATTAAATTAAAATTTCATCCTTCTTTTTTTTAATTAAATTCCTAAATCTGATTTTAATTTTTGTAAATACAAATTTATAAAATTCCAAATACTAACGACACAAATTTTTGCAAATAATAATTATTTATTATTATTTTTTAAATGTCATTGCAATAAATGAAAGTTTATCTCAAAGATTAGTGTTGTTGCTTTGATTTTGTTCATATGCATTTGTTGCAATGTAAGAAAAAAATATGACTCATACATGCTTATTTGATTAAGTTGCATTAAAATTCCGTTCAGACAACATTTTTTTTTTGTTCTTAAAAATATTTAATCAAATCTTTTTTTTTGCTGATACTATGACTTTTGGGTGTTAACATATTAGTGTTATTTATTTAATGTGTTTTTGCCTTCTGTATCGTAGGCACGAGGAACAAAAATCACACACGAAATGACATAATTAGTAAGTGTTGAACTCATCCCTCCAATGATTGCTACGAAATGACACTGAATGAATAACGTTTTCATATTATAGGTAAAAACTGATATTTTAAATCCTTATTTGCTTGGTGTTATTGTTACCTTGATTTTGTTGATGAATGTTATAGTTAACAATGATTTGTACGCATTTTTCTTTTTATATCCCTTTCTCATGTTAACATGGTGTATTATAACGTATTATGATTTATTATGATGTAGTTGTATGCAAAATTAATTATCCCTCTGAATAGCAGATTTTTGGTTGTGGTTGATATTTGCAAAGCTCTGTGTCAATGCTGTAATTTTTTGCACCTGAAATATAGAACAAAATAACAACACCGTTTTTTGTAAGTATAAGATTTGCAGTGTGATTAACCAACCACGACGGACGACAAAAAATTTGATATTTTTTCTCCGTACATTGCACGGGTAATATACTAGTTAAGTCAAATGCTTGATGACAAAAACAAATTATGTGATATATAAAACAAAAGGTTACATATGATCCGATGTTATTTGCATTAGTGTATGGTGGAGTTGTCAAACAAAATAGAATATATTAAAAGAGATTAATGTTTTTCTATGGATTGGAAAAAAAAGTATTTTTCTAATTCTAATTTATTATAAAGTTATATTAGTCTTTATTATTATAATTTTTTATCTTTAAACAATGTCCTTTTGAGCTTTGAAAATAATTTATTTTCATTTGATCGAGAAACATTAAACCTTATATTAAACCACAATCAATTGTGCATTGGGTTAAGGTTACTTCTTATGCTAATTTTCCATACCTTTTCGTGCTTCTCCAGCGAGCTCGATATTCCTTTCTGCGTATCTGCTTTCTGTTGCAAAAAAATGCATTGCAGGACATAACGCACATATGTTTGGAACTTACAGGTAGTTTAATTTTAGGGAAATAATCATCTCATATTACATGAGATAATTATCTCATGCAACAGAAATAAAATAATGGAGTTCATAATTTTTTTTTTTTATAAAAATAGTAGACTCCACAATCTTATTTTTGTTATCTCATGCAACATGACATTAATAGATCCTTTAATTTTGTAAGGCCACAACTCCTTATTTAGGCTTATATGATGTGCACTTTAAAAATTTACCTTAGCTTAAAAATTCATTTGAGAACTTCAATTTCGATACATATGAGGAAATTGACATACATGATTAATTACGAAAGTGCCTATTTGGTTAAATAATAATAATTCTCAATGAAATGATGTTAACAAAGCTGCAATCGTGGATATGCCTAAGATAAGATAACATGATACCTTGACCGGTCCCAACAGTAAATGCCACTAGATCTAGAATTAACAACTATTTACTCTGACAACACTGCATCTTAATTCTTAAATATGAAACCCAATGATAATTGTGTTTATTTATGTCAGACCCTCCAACGTGCCATCTTCACCACCCAACTTCCCAGCAATGGAAAACCCCAACCCAAAACCAAAAGACCATTGACTTTCAGGTGTAGCAACCTTTTCTTTTAAATTCATTTCTTTATTTCAATTCTGTACTACATGAGTTTACAAAAACCAACTTTGTCCTCTATCACACATCAGAAGCTCCTCCGAGGTTGTTTTCGACCATGAAAGCCTATGGCATTATCAGATTTTCTCTGCCTCCAACCAAAGTTTCTTCTTTTGGTGATTTGTTTCTCTGGGTTCTTTGATCAACACTGAAATTCGGTTCCGGGTGTCTTTCCTTTTTCCCTTTTTTTTGTTTGTTTGTTGCTTGCACTTAGTCGAGTCTTTTTCTTATTAGCCAATTTTGAAATTTTGATCAAACTGATCATTATTGGATGAGGTTTCATCAGTTGCCAAGTTTGAGTCTTTGAGTTTCTGGGTTTCCCTGGAATGCATCTTTATTTCCAATTTTGATGTTCTTCAACTCCCTTTGGAAATCTTTGTGAGTTTATTATATTCTCCAGATTGTATAATTGCTACAGATTGTTTTGAATACAATTTTTTGTTACTTGATTGTATTCATGCACCTATCTACCTACTTGAACTTTCATCCCATTCTTCTTGCGTAATTTTTATTTTTTATTTTTATTTTTGTGGTATATCTGCTACTCGAAGTTACAGTTTCCGATTAGGGGTCACTATTGAATCTACAATTTTTATAATCTCACTTATTGTACTAGAAATAAAGTTTTACATTTGAAGTTCATATTTAGTTCTGTATAAGCAAGTCATTACTTTCAGAAAATTTTCCATTCTGTGGAAAATCTATATTGGTTTTCGGCGTACTTAGTATGCCTAGGTTGTAAGCACAATGTCAATCTTGTGTGGTGTGCCTCTTGTTGAGTGTGTGTACTGTCTGGCTTGTGCTCGTTGGGCTTGGAAAAGATGTCTTCATACTGCAGGCCATGACAGTGAAACTTGGGGCCTTGCCACTGCAGAAGAATTTGAGCCTGTCCCTCGTCTTTGTCGCTATATTTTATCAGTGTATGAAGATGATCTTCGACACCCTATTTGGGAACCCCCTGGTGGCTATGGAATTAACCCTGATTGGTTAATACTCAGAAAGACATACAAAGAAACAGAAGGGCGGGCACCACCCTATATACTGTATATTGATCATGATCATGCGGATATAGTCCTTGCCATTAGGGGACTAAATTTGGCAAAGGAAAGTGACTATGCTGTTCTGTTGGATAACAGATTGGGGAAGAGAAAGTTTGATGGGGGCTATGTTCATAATGGGCTGTTGAAGGCTGCTGGATGGGTTTTGGATGCTGAATGTGAAGTTTTGAGGGAATTGGTAGAGAAGTATCCAAACTATTCTTTGACTTTTGCTGGACATTCACTTGGATCAGGAGTAGCCGCAATGTTGAGCATGGTGGTGGTGCAGAATCGAGAAAGACTAGGAAATATTGAGAGGAAGAGAGTCAGGTGCTATGCTATTGCACCTGCTAGGTGCATGTCACTGAATTTGGCAGTCAGATATGCAGATGTCATCAACTCTGTTGTGCTTCAGGCAAGTTATCGGATTCTTATTTGTTTAGTTGAATTAACATCCTTTGGAATATTTTTACATCCAGTAGAATGTGATGAAGGTAAAATTAAAGCATTTGTTGGTATGGAAGGTATTCTGCTTTAAATTGCCTTCTGTCAATGTTTGTTTCTTACCTTGTGTATTCCGAGGACATGATTTGCAAAGTGTACCTAAATTTTGAATTTCATTCCTGAATTGCTCCAGCCTTGCATATACTTACAACATGGTAAAGGAATAAAAAATGATGAATTATGAATATAGAGTCCCACAGGCCACAACCTCAAAATCCAAGCGACAATTTATGTTTAGTTTGCTGCTTTGAGAGAATTGGTTGTCATACGTACAGTCTACAGATATCCGTACATAAAAATACAGATGTTTCTTAATTATATGTAGTGAGAGAGGAACATCATAGGAAGACAAAAAGATCTGTTTCTGTTCAGGTTTTATTTCAATGCTTATGTCTTTGCCTCAATTCATCCTTGTTGTTTAATTTTCCTTTTTTATTCCTTTTCTTTTCTTTTTTTAGGCCGGGGAGAATAGTTATGTGGTATGTCTGTTTCTAAAAAACCATCATATCCACAGTCATATTTTCCAGTGATATAGATGAATGAACTCTTTCAAGGATTGCAAGGGTAATGCTACATACAAGGACCCCACCCTCGCCAGTTGGGGTTAATGGAGAGTGATTTATAGATGAATGAACTGTTTCACGTGCTGGAGAGAAACAATTTATGGAGGACTTGCATGAATTTTAATGTGTTCAAAGTCTGTTTTATGTGGAACATAATGATTGTCACATGATCTATTATTGTGAATAGTTTGTTGCTCACACTTATTATATGTATATGCTTAAGATCATATAAAATTTTAGCTTAGCAGATGTTGAGCTTAAGCGGCATCACAAACTTCCTTATACTTGATTCACGCTGATACTTGTACTTTGAAGTTAACTGCTGATTTCCTTGATCAGGATGACTTCTTACCAAGGACAGCCACTCCATTGGAAGATATATTCAAGTCTCTTTTCTGGTATGTTGTAAGGCCCTGTATAAGAGCAGCTCCCTTATCCTGCTTGTTATACAAGGCTAGAGTGTTCTAGTGTGCTGAAGTCTCTGCTTGTTAACTTAGTTGACTGAATTATTGATGAAACCAATTTAAACCATTTTCACAACCGAGTCAGTTTTTAGCATTCTGAACTCCCTTCCCGATTTCCCTAGATTTTTGGGTCAACAAAGTTCAGTTTTGAGATTATCTTTTCTGTTTGAGGCTTCCAATGGATAAATTTGAGATGCTATTTGATCAATTTCAGGCTTTTCTACCGTGTTTTTTTGGTGTGCTATCTTCCCTTTCCTAATATGCATCTTTCTTGTTTTCTTTTTGACTATGCATCATTCTGCATGTCTATCAGCTATGTGGTCCCTCCGGCTATGCTCACTTTCTTTGATTTTGCAAGTGGTGGTTTGCGGAGCATGCCAAGTGCCTAATTTGTAGGATTTTTTTTTTTTTTTTTCTTTTGTTGAGTGCAAGTTATTTGTAACAAGCTGAGATTTTTGTAAGGCTCGGCTTAAGGAGCACTGCGAGAGTACTGAGAATATGAATTAACAACTGAGACTCAGGCTGTGATTAGTTGATGTCAATTCAGTTGGTGGAAATGATTGTCAGTGTAACTTAGATGTTTTCATGGTAAGATGTTTTCTTTGGTTGGCAGTTTGCCATGCTTATTGTGCTTGAGGTGCATGAGGGATACATGTATACCAGAGGAGAAGATGCTGAAAGATCCAAGGAGACTCTATGCACCCGGTCGCCTCTATCACATTGTTGAGAGAAAGCCTTTCAGGTATGGTTAAGGACTCCCAGAAGAGCTTATGTGGAATTGTAACTGTACTTTTGGAAATCATCTGCAGTTTAAGTGCAACTGTATCCTTTTTGATTGTCTGGAATATGTTATTACGGTCACGTTTAAAAAAGATGTTTACACATCTTTTTCTTTTGGCTTAACATCAACACCTTTTGTATGCAGAATGGGAAGGTTTCCCCCAGTTGTGAGGACAGCAGTGCCAGTAGATGGAAGGTTTGAGCATATAGTCCTTTCTTGTAATGCTACATCTGATCATGCCATTGTTTGGATAGAGAAAGAAGCTCAAAGGGCTATAGATGTAAGTCTATCAGCCTTGTAATCTTTTATTTTGTTTGTTGGGGGAAGTGAAGGTTTTGTGTTAACTGTAATTAACTAGAACTACTGGATGCAATTGTCAAGCTTTGCCATTTTGTTTGTGCTAACTGCAGTTGATGCGGGAGAAAGATACTAGCATGGAAATACCTGCAAAGCAAATCATGGAGAGGCAGGAAACATTAACAAGACATAGTCAAGAATACAAAGCAGCATTACATAGGGCTAAAACATTAGATGTTCCACATGCTTTTACACCACCATCACAGTATGGAACTTTTGATGAGGAGGGAGAGGAGAGTTCAAGAAGGTCACAAGCTGAGTCTTCTTTTGGTTCAACCAATAGGAGCACAGTGGATGAATCCTGGGATGAATTAATTGAGCGTCTTTTTGATAAGGATGAGCATGGCCACATTGTGCTCAAGAAACAATGATTGTGTAATTTAAGTGGACAAGAATATAAATTGTAGTCATGTAAAAACCATATTTGTTCATTCTTTTGTATTTTTTGGTTTCTAGTTGTAGCTAGAAGATGGAATAAATTTGTTAGAAATTGTTGGGGACTCAGGTTCTCTTCTTAAGCGTCATATATGTAAGTTAAGGATACTCTCTATCAATGTCTTCATCAAGAAATGTATCGCCATAGCACTGATTGTAAATCAAGGCATCACTCGGCTGAATAAAGAAAAGAGAAAATGTTCTTTCTAGTGCAAGTAATTGCTCATGCAATTCTGTACTTTTATCATAGTATATGATTTGTTATCATAGAGCTTGTTTTGTATGTGTTATTATAGATGAAAAAATATTTTTTGTTTAAAAAAATTACTTTTGGCAATTTCTAGAATGTTTGGTTTATTTATTTATTTTTTTTAAAAATAAAAGTATCAGAAAAATCACAAATTAAGCATTTTTAAGATAAGCTGGCATGTTTGGATGTGTTATTTTGAATTACTTTTTTTAATAGGTTCTTTTTTTCTTTACACTTTTTTAGGATGTTTATATTGGGTTTTTTTTTTAAAAAAAAAATGATAAAATACTGGGAAAAATCATGCTTTCTTTTTAAAGATGTTTTTGAGCTTCTGTAAAAAAAATTTATTTATTTATTTTACAATATTAAAAAGTTGTTCAATTAAAAAATTTAAATATTGGATGAAAGCATAAAATATTTTTTAAATTTTCCAAAATTTCTTTTTTAAAAAATCATACCAGAAGATAAATAAGCTGTTCAAATATAAAATAAATCTTGGCACACTTTTTATTTCATCGTTTGAAGCTCAAAGTCGATAATAGAAGTTTAAAACTAACAGCCGATCACTGAGAGAAAGTTACTTTTAAGAGGCCATTCGCGCTGAAGTAAATTGAAAAATAACACTGTAATTTTTTAAAAACAAATAATAATATTGTTTAATTTAAACATCTACTAAGAGAAGTAATAATAATTTACACATAAATATATTAGTGATTTTGAGAGTAATCAGCAACCAAAAAATAAATGTCAGCTCATTCGCATTCAACTCATTCGGCATCATTTTTTTTTTATAAATGTCAGCTAATTTGCCAATACGTTGCAAGATAAAATAAAAAATAAAAAATTTGGTTCTAAGTCTATTCTTTTTTTAATAAAATTTTGAATGAGAAAAAGAGAGAAAAGTAGAAGATAATATGTCATCCAAAAAGTAGATAAAACTAAGAGTCTCTTTGAACTATCTCTTTTTTTTAGCGAAAAGCTACTTTTAAGTTAGCTAAAGTAAAAAAAAAAAAAAAGTAAAAAAGTAAAAAAATTAAAAATTATTTGATGATTACATAAAATTCTTAACTTAAAAATTACTTAAAGGGTTTAATTTTCCTTATGTTACAGGAAAAAAATTATCTCTTGCAAAAAAAATAATTATATACTAAAAATAGTATATAATTATAATCGTAAAATTATTTTCTCTCTCTCCGCCACATCAACCAATAATGTCTAATAAGAGAGAAAAAATAATTTTAATATGATAACTCTGTATTACCTTTATTACGTAGTTATTTTTTTTATAGGAGATATTTTCTTTTCGACAGCACAAGAGAATGATAGAAAATGATTTCCGTTACTTAAAAGCTCAAACTTCATTTCAAGATAAGCTGATAAGAGATTAAAAAAAAGTTCCTTCTTAGAGTTTTTGACTTTTGAATTTTTTTAAATTATAAAAAAAACTCTTTTATTATAAAAAGAAGATTCCAAACAAGCACTCCGTTCAGTTGGCAACTTTGTCTCAAGCAAATTCTTAGAAAATCTTTGAGGTCAAAGGATGTGTCTCTCTTCTCGAATGAGGGATTAGTCTCATCTTTTCTCTGATGACGAAGCTTAATGCACTTGTTGTTCTAATGAGGGGTAGCCTTGAGGGCCGTACTTCAAAAATAAAGTGACCCGAGGAGGTTGAATGAAAATAAAAATAAAAATTATGCACCTAATACACTGATTGAAAGTAATCTTTACTTGAACGCCACAAAGCTAACAACCTCTTCATCCCATTAATGAAACAAAAGAGGCGCAAAAAACATGTTCAACCAGGTCAATAAACTATCAGATCAACACTGAACCCATCTTGTAACCATTGTAAACTTCATAATTATTCATTTGAATGGGAACAAAGTAGTTATAACTCATTCTTTCACTTATTACTGGAAAATTTTCTCTATTTATATATATCCTTCTTCAGCCATTGAATAGATAATTTTTACACATTAATCATAAAATTGTTACTTTATTGAAACACCTCGTTAGAGTTACTATGCTTTCATATAATCTCTCTTTGCTTTTTTAACTTTCACATGGGAAGGTCTTCATTGTTACTCTCCACAAAGTCTTGATACATGTTATTATTTTTTTAATCACTTTTATATTGAGATATTACAATTAAAGAGTTCAGAATGTTAAGAAAAATCTTAATAATACAACACCCTTTTGTTGGGTTTGCACTCTTTTACTTAAGTCCAATTGTGCTAAGAGTATGAGAAGAGCTGAAGAAGCCTAGAGTCCAAAAAGTTTAGGGTTAGAATTTTTTGGTACCCATATATATTCTCCACTTTTAGCCATCAGTCATTGGTCTTCTGCTGTTGCATTGGCTAAGGTAAGGTCATCTTTCTAAAAATGAGAGAGCGCCCACACACCGACCTCTTCTCCTCTTGAGAGATAGCTTGGAAGGTCTACTAGAAGCAATCTTCAACAAGGAGGTTCGTGTTGTAACGTTGAGGAGGCCAGTTCGTGCATGGGACATTCCGTGAGAGCAAAGGCGAGAAGGAGCACCACACCTACACAAAGGAGGTTTCTCGTGGGTCTACGCTACAAGAGGTAATTTGAACCATGATGATTCGTTGCACTCCAAATTGTAACGGTCTATACGGTCTATTTAATAATTGCTTTATTTTTTATGAATCGATGAATTATACGATTGATAACATATTTGATGTGATAACATGCTATATAGAATAGGTGGTATCATATTGTTGCATAACTTATTAATTACATGAGCATGATGACTGTTATATTTGAACAATTAGATTAATAGTCATTATGAAAATTAATTTATATTTCAAAAAATAAATGTAACGTTGTTACGTTTCATATGCTAGATTAATGGTCATTATGACATTCTAATTTTCGAATTATGTCCATGACGAATTTAATGATTAATAACAATTATTTTAATTTCAAATTATCCTCATAAATGATAATTATTATGATTCCTAAAATCTAGATTAATAATTAAGTCAATTATTTAGGATAATTCAAATATAGATAAATATTTGAAAATATTTTCTAAAAGAATTGTTTAAAATTTTGTGAGTAAATTTGTGATTCTTCTAAAACGGTCATATGATGAACACACATTGCATACCACAATCACGTATCATATTGTGTGAATCACACGCTGCCTATTATTAGGGGGTGTTCATCAACTGATCTAAATCGATTCAAACCGCGGTAATCGAACCGATAACCGAAATTCGAAAAATTAAAAATCGAAAAAAAATCATATATTTTAATTGGATTGGATCGATTTTCGATGTGGATGATTAAAACCGATCCAATTCAAACCTATCCAATGCTTATGTATTTATTATTTTTGAAAGTTGGTGACTTGGAATATAGTTATTTTTTAGACTTGAAATCTTGGATGTTCTTGATAGAAAACTATCTTGTTTTAGTTTTTTATTGTCTATTAATCTATTTTAACTATTCATAAGTTTTAAGACTTGTTTTAGTTTGAACACTTGAATTTTTCAATGGTTTGTAACTCTGTATGACTTTATTTTGATATAGCTAGGGATTTGTATGGCTAAAATTTTAGGCTTTTCAAAAAATCGAAAAATCGATCCAATCCAAACCAAATAAAATATGAGTGAATTGGATCGAAATTAAAAAAATTAAACTGAATGGATGATTAAATCATCAAACCGAAGGATTGTATCGGATATTTTTGCTTCAAAACCGATCCAATCCGGATCGGGAACACCCCTACCTATCATGATCAGATTTTAGGACCTTAATATTTTCAAAATTATGATAAGCTTAGTAATGTACGTTTATTGACGTGCTTGCTTACTTAGTTTTTGAAATCAAACAAAAGTTACTCTCAATTGCACAATGCTAGGAAATTGGAAATTCGCTTATGTTGAACGAGAGGAAATTTAAATTAAGAAATCAATTTAACCTCTGGGCGTATTATAGGATCATTAATAAAATAATCATGCGAAGCCCCGCCGATAGCATGATTGAATTTTATTAGGTTTGATCTAAATAATCATGGGAGGAGATTTACATTAAGAAATTAATTTAACATCTAGGCGCATAATGGGCCTATTAATAAAATAATCATGTGAAGACTTATCAGATAAGAATGATTGGATTTTATTGGGCATGAATAACTTCAAAATTTTAATTAAGTATTGTACAACCCATCACTCTGCAATACTAAATTATTAAAGATAATTTTAAAAATAAATAATGAATTTTACATTCGACAAAGCTTGTTTCTCACTAAAAAAATATTGAATAAGTGAATTTTTAAATTAAGTAATTAATTTTAAAATCTGCGAGCTCCTTTTGTGGGTTTATTAGTGAAATGGCTATGACTAAAACCTCACCAGATAAGCATAATTGGATTTTACTAGATTAAATGTCAATAATTTCAAAGTTTTAATAAAGTGTTGTACGACCCAACGTCGGCAATGCTTAGCTACCAAGGATAATTTTGAAATTAAACAGTGGTTAATTACATTCAACTTTGGTAAAATTATTAACCCTTCATATGGTAATTGTACTGAAGGTCCAAATAACAATTTTAGTTTTTACAAGTAACTTGCCCACCGTAAGCCTTGTAAAGAAAACTAAAAGATTGTCAACAATAAACAATAGTAGTTAATAGTTTGTTTATTTCATTATTTGCTTTTAAATTATGTGTCTTGTATGTTTTTTAGAAAACGACTTCCTTTAATCTTTTAGCAATGATTTTGAATCAAAAACCTATAGATGATACCAACTTTGAATAGTGGAAAGCGAATCTCGGTATTGTTCTTAAACATAAAAAAATGAATTTTGTCCTAACCATGTCAAAACCTCAGCAACCTACAAGGATGTGTATGAGGTAATTAAGACGCAATACTCAGATTGAAAAAAG